ACAACACATAGTCAGAACAAAACCAAGAAGCTTTTCCATCACATATTCTCAACATATTTCTCAATAACAGTCACCTTATAGTGTCTTTTAAATAGTAGTAAACTAGTAGCACTCTGTAAGTTGTCAACTAAACCATTCCAAAGCTTAACACCTCTTCTGGATATGCAGTGAGTTTTGATGTGCGGGCGCATACCACCTTGAAATTATTTGATCCCCGCAAATCGTATCCACCCTCTCTATCAAAAAACAGCTGTTGAATATCGATTGGTAATTGATTCGGTCTTGCTTTGTACAAAATTAGCACTGACTTTAGGTTAACTAGATCTTCAAGTTTTAAGATTTTAGACTTCATGAAAAGTGTATTAGTATGGTCTGTGAAACCAACATTATGTACAATCCTAATAGCTTTTTTTAAGTCTAAATACTGCCTCCAAATGGCTGCTATAGGTATTACCCCAGACCTCTGCGCAGTAGCTAAGATAGGGGAGAATAAATGCGTAATACAAGATTAGTAGAGCTTTGTGGTCCAGAAGGAATTTACATTTTCTCATAATTGCAATGTTCTTTGCCAATTTCTTTTGTATGCTATGTATATGAGATCTCCAGCTGATATTTTGAGTAAGAATCACTCCCAGAAATCGATACTCATTTACCTTTTCCATTTCATTGTTGTCCATTTTGATTCTGATGTCAGTGTCTTGAGTTTGTTTACCAAACAGCATCATTTTTGTTTTTGATATATTTAAAGATAATTTGTTTTTGTTAAACCAGTCTAAGTTTTTCTAATTCTGCTGTCATCTCTGTCACAAGTAATTGTAGATCTTTACCTGAACATAATATTGTAGTTTCATCAGCAAATAAGATTATTTTGAGTTTTGATAATACCCTGCATATATCATTTATATATAGAAGAAACAGTATTGGTCCTAAGACTGAACCTTGAGGGACTCCACAATTTGTATTTCTGAGTCTTGACCTGTGATCATTTATCTGTACGTATTGCTGTCTGTCGGTTAAGTAAGATTTCACCAAGTTATATGCAATCCCCCTAATCCCATTTTGTTGCAATTTATTTAAAAGTATTTAATGGTCTACTATATCAAAGGCCTTTTGGAGGTCTATAAATATGCCAATAGAATACATTTTACGATCCAATTTTTCGGTTACCTCTTCTATGAGATCTATCAGTGCAAGAGCAGTTGATCTATTTTGTCTAAATCTATATTCATATTGACTATTATTAAGTTGTATTTTTCAATGAAACCGTTCATGTTTTCCACATACAGTTTTTCCAGTACCTTTGATAACTGAGGAAGAATAGAGATCGGCCGATAGTTAGTGATCTGATGTTTTTCTCCACTTTTATAGACTGGAGTGACTTTTGCTGTTTTCATCAGTTTGGGAAACTCTCTGCTTATAAAAGATACATTGCAGATATGGGTTAAAAGTGTTGCCATATTAAGTATTACCTGTTTTATTATAGTCATGTCAAGATCATCGCAATCAGTAGACTTTTTATTTTTACAATTATTGACTATTTTGATCATTTCATTTTCATTTGTTGGTGATAGAAATAAAGAGTGTGCATTATTATATGTATTTGTACTGTCAACGTCACTATTTGATTTTGATACTTTCATATATATTAGATTCATTACACACAACTGAAGTAGTTCAAGCCTTTTATTGTTTCTAATATTGATGATTTTGGCGTACAGCTCATGAAAACCCAAAATTCCTATCTCAAAAAATTAGCATATCATGAAAAGGCTCTCTAAACGAGCTATTAACCTAATCATCTGAATCAATTAATTTACTCTAAACACCTGCAAAAGATTCCTGAGGCTTTTAAAAACTCCCAGCCTGGTTCATTAGTCAAAACCGCAATCATGGGTAAGACTGCCGACCTGACTGCTGTCCAAAAGGCCATCAGTGACACCCTCAAGCAAGAAAGTAAGACAGAAATAAATTTCTGAACGAATAGGCTGAAGGGTGTTCCTTCTGTGAGTTTACACACTTAAACAGTTTATCATCTTTTCTGCTCCGCAACAGAAGGTCAACAGTTCAGTTTTCACCAAATAAGGTCACTTCCCCTAACCTGTACTGGAACATTTTAGTAGCATTATGTGTATCTGTTTTCTGCTTCTCATTTACATCTACTTCAGACATACGTTTCCTGTTATTCTACTCTGAACATTAACTTTATCACAAGTTATGCTCAAGTCTGGTTGTTACTATAGCAACCTGTGTCCAGCACGCTTGCTGTCTGGAGGGCCGTTTCTGCTATTCTGCAACATTTCTTATTCCATCCTTCAGTTCTTTTTAAAACACAGAAAAGGTTTATTTACTTGCAACTTTTCGTTTGTGGCTGCAAACATCAGGCTGACGCCGATGGTGGCGTCACTTCCCTCGTTTATCCGCGGGCGGCAGGGAACGTTGTCGCCCTCTGCTGCCCGCTCTCCCCCTCCAATGATGCAGTCCCATGCACGGTCCAACGTGTAAACTCCATCGTCCCTGTTCATGGTCCCACATCCACGTCTCCTTACCTCGATTGCTTCTTTTATCCATCTTTTTATTTTTGTTGTTCGGTGTTTATGATCCTTGTGTTGTCCCAGTCCATTATATGGTTTTCTCTTGTGCAGTGATCTGTTATGGCTGACGTCTTTATTGTGCTTTCTGCTTCTTCTTTTGCTGTTCTTTTGTGTTTTCGACTTGCCTCTTTCTCGCACTCCTCTCTATGTTCTATTGTTCGTGTGTTGAGTTGGCGTCCGGTTTCTCCTATGTATGTTTTATTGCAGAGTTTGCATGGGATTTCGGAAACGACTCCACATTTAGTCCAGCTGGTATCTTGTCTTTTGGATGTACTAGTCTGTTTCTAACTGTTTTGTATGATTTTGTTGGTGTATTTATGTTGTGTTTTTTCATTGTTGCTCCTATTTTCTGTTATGCCTTTGATGTATGGTAGGGTTATCACTGGTTTTGGTTCTTGTCTTTCTGGGTTTCTGGTTCTTTGCTTTGGTTGTTCTTTCCATTCCTTAATTTTAGTTCTAAATCTGGGTTTTGTAAACACATCAGTTTCTTTCAGCATGTAATTACTAGTTCTCTTTTCAAATATCCCCTGAATGTTTGTTGGCAGAGTACCTAAATTGGCTTTATACATGCTTTGCTAGATTTTCCAGTCTTTTAAATCATGAAATTTCAGTAATTTATATTTAATAAACAATGGGTTCGATAGATCTCTACAGCCACTATAATTGATGATTCTTAGAGCTCTTTTCTGTAAAATAAATAAGGGTTGTGTATAGTTTTTGTATGTTGCTCCCCAGATTTCTACACAATAAGTCAAGTATGGACCAATCAGTGAATTGTACAATGCCAACAAACCAGAATTAGTCAGTAAAAACTTGACTCTATGTAATACTCCTAAGGATTTGGCAATTTTACCTTTTATGTAACTAATATGGGATTTCCATGTCAAGTCTTCATCAATAAGAACTCCAAGAAATTTAGTTTCTTTTACTCTTTGAATTTCAATCCCATCTATTTCCAATGACACATCACTTTTCTTTTTATCATTAAACAGTATAACATTTGTTTTATTAAGATTCAGTGTCTATTTATATCAAACCAGTTTTTAATTTTAGTCAGTTCATCATTTATCACTTAAGCCACCTCCTCAATATTTAATCCTGAGTAAAACAGTGTTGTATCATCTGCAAATAGAATGGTACCGAGTGTCTTAGATACATTTACCAAGTCGTTAATAAACAAAATGAACAGTTTTGGTCCGAGGACCGACCCTTGTGGCACTCCACAATAATTTCACATAGTTTTGATTTATGGTCCTTTATCTGAACAAACTGTTTCCTTTTTTCTAAATAAGTTTTAACCCATTGATGAGCCACACCTCTTATTCCATACTGACTTAATTTTCGAAGTAACCTTGAATGATCAATGACGTCAAAAGCTTTTTTCAAATCAATGAAAACACTAACAAAGTAATTTTTATTGTCAATTGCTGTTGATATTTTATCCGTTAATTCCATTATTCCATTGCTTTGGAATGTTTAGTTCTAAACCCATATTGTTCATTGTTTAAAATATTATTTTTTTCGATGAATTTATCCAACCTTGATACAAATACTTTTCCCAATATTTTAACCACAGGCCATATCAAATAAAAATGTTTTAAGCCTAGTCTTAAAAGTAGACAAGGTGTCTGCCTCATGTACTAAAGTTGGGAGTTGGTTCCACAGGAGAGGAGCCTGATAACTAAAAGATCTGCCTGCCATCCTATTTTTAGATATTCAGGGAACCACCAGTAGACCTGCAGTCTGAGAGCGAAGTGCTCGGTTAGGAACATATGGAACAATCAGGTCACTGATGTATGATGGAGCTTAATTATTAAGAGCTTTATATGTGAGAAGAAGGATCTTATAATCTATTTTAAATTTAACAGGCAGCCAATGTAGGGAAACTAAGACAGGAGAGATATGATCTCTCTTTTAATTCTCATCAGAACTCTAGTTACAGCATTTTGGACAAGCTGAAGTCTTTTAACTACATTCTGTGGACTTCCTGGTAGTAATGAATTACAGTAATCCAGTCTTGATGTAATAAATGCATGAACTAGTTTTTCAGCATCACTCCTGGAAAGGATGCTTCTAATCTTAGCAATATTCCGAAGGTTGAAAAAGGAAATCCTACAAGCCTGTTTAATGTGTGATTTGAATGACATGTCCCAGTCAAAGATAACACCAAGGTTCTTTACTTTGTTCTCAGAGACTAATTTAATGCCGTTTAAAATTTCTTGTTCTGTATTCATGTAAAGATTCTAATCTCAGCTTGATCTCAAATGATGAATTACTGATTTTTTATATACAAAATGTGTATATGAATGTTTAATGTTAGTCCGAAATAAAGATATTCATTAATTCCGTCATTCATTAAAACTTGTTATCTCAACATTTAACCCAATTTCGTTTGAATCTGCTCCTCAGATTGTCAAGGCATTAGAGCATCTGCATCATAACCTGGCAGTGATACACAGAGGTAAACAAGTAGGTCACTGAATGGCCGGTTGCTACTGGTAATGTTGAATTGTTCCAATTTCACTGACATTTCCTGGTAATGTTCACCTCTAGATGTAAAGCCCTCCAACGTCCTGATCAACACAGAGGGGCAAGTCAAAATGTGTGATTTTGGCATCAGTGGCCACCTGGTGGATTCTGTGGCCAAAACGATGGATGCTGGCTGTAAGCCCTACATGGCTGTGAGTAGGGGGAGTCCTGGACCCAGCTAGTTTAGATTTACTTTAATCAAGAAGGATTCAGAATTATGGTCAAATGTAGACTTTTTAACTTTTTTTTTTATTTATTTTTATTATTATTGATTTAAACAACATATGTTGTGTTGCTGATTCTTTATCTTTCAGCCTGAGCGGATCAACCCGGACCTTAACCAGAAAGGTTATAGTGTGAAGTCAGACATCTGGAGTCTTGGTATCACTATGGTGAGCACACTTATCTTTGTTTCTTTGATCTTCTACCTACACAATGTAGTAATATATACCATGGAGGAAAATAGAGAAACCAGCAAAGGCAAAAACCATTGTAAGGGTCAGAAATGATTCAAAGTTTGGGATCCAGCGTGAATCCATGACAAGTGGGCTAATGCTAATATTAGCAGGTAGCATGTTCACGATCATGTGGTGGCCGGAAAAACACGTTGATCATGTTCATGTTAAACTAAGAATTAATAAACTCCACAAATGGAAGAACAATCTCCACCATCCTATTTATTTGTAGATGGCTGCAGCCTGCAACTGTATGAGGCTGACCCTGAGCAACGTGACTCCAGGTAGTTGCTGCGAGTCAGCCTCATACTGCTGCTTTTCTGTGGCAGTATGTAATTTTCTATCTTTGAATAGAATAGAAAAAATGCTATCTTTGTATTTTTGTAGAAATTAAATGTCATTAGCATTTCCAGTGGTAATGATCTGTATGTTAATTAAATATACTAATTTCTATTTATCATAGTTTAACTGTAGATGTATTTAGATAGCCTTGTTAATCTTCATCATTTTCCTGTATAAATCGTTGGTTGTGTGTGTGTATGTGTGTGTGTGTGTGTGTGTGTGTGTCTGTGTGTGTGTGTGTGTGTGTGTGTGTATATATGGGACTGGATTTAAAATTGTTATGTAATTAAGTAGAGGCTTTGTAATTAATTAATCTTGATTAATCACATTTAATTGTTCATGAAAATTTGCCACGAAACTATTTTTTTTTAATTAAAAGTATTGAGGCAGAGAATCAAATGTTAGACATGGATATTGTTTTTGTAAATTCAAGCTCTTAATTTCTGGAAAAAAAAAAAATAACAATGCTTTTTAATTATTCAAATGTCACTATGTGATATGAAACAAAACTCCACTAAACTAAAATTCATATTTGCAAATAGAAAACACCTGCAAAGGGTTCCTGAACCTTTAAATGAAGAAGAAGAAAATATCATTTCTATAGCGCCTCTCAAGATAAAAATCACGAGGCGCTTCACAAAAACAAAAAAATAAAAAAATTGTAAAAATATAAAAAAGCATTTCGAAAATGTTTAAAAATATATTTAAAATGAGCAAGAATAAGCAATTGCGATTTAAAAGAAAAAATGTTAAGAAAGAGAGAGAGTGAACAGGAAAGAGGGAAATCAGTGGATCCTGAGGAAGGTGGAATAGGTGGGGAGAGCAGAATAAAGAGAGAGAGGTGAAGAAGGTCATACAAAAGCCAGCTTGAACAAGTGAGTCTTCAGCTGCTTTTTAAAGGAGACCACTGAGTCCACTGATCTCAGGCTCAGGGGGAGAGAGGTCCAGAGTCTGGGGGCCACAGCAGCAGATGATCTGTCACCTTTGACCTTTAGCCTGGTGCTGCACAACCAGTAGGCTTTGATCGCTGGACCTCAGGGACCTGCTGGGGGTGTAGGGACTAAGAAGATCACCAATGTATGATGGTGCTTGTCCATGTAAGGCCCTATAGACCAGAACCAGGATCTTGAAATGAACCCTGAAGTTGACTGGCAGCCAGTGAAGCTGGAGGAGAAGTGGGGTGATGTGGGTGTGTTTGGAGGACTTGGTCAGAAGCCGAGCACAGGCCTTCTGAACCACCTGTAGACGGTTCAGGGAGGTTCTGCTCAGACACGTGAAAAGAGAGTTGCAGTAGTCTAAGCGTGAGGAGATGAAGGTGTGGAGAACAGTCTCAAGTTCAGAGCGGGACAGAATGGGACTCAGCTTAGCAACGTTCCTGAGATGGAAGAAGGAAGAGCCAACAAGAGAACTGACATGAGAATCCAGGGTGAGAGCTGGGTCAAAGGTCACGCCAAGATTCCTGACAGAAGGTTTGTGTGAGAAGCAAGCTGACCAAGAGAGTCTCTGACTTTGGGAACCAGCTTGTCTGGGGCACAGATGAGGATCTCAGTCTTATCTTCATTCAGCTGAAGAAAGCTCCCACCATCCAGGTTTTGATAGAGTCTAAGCAGGTGTGTAACAGCTGCAGCTTAGACATCTCATGGGGCTTAAAGGAGATGTACAGTTGGATGTCATCTGCATAAAGGTGGTATCCAGCTAGATAGCAACCCTTGAGGACCAGTGCTGCCCACCTTGCTGAAAAAATTGTAGAACATAATGGTTACGTTCTCTACATAACTCAGTGAGGTTCACAGCAGTGTTAAATAAAATTCTTCTTTGGTCTGTTGTAGCACACAGTTTAAGGAGATCCTTCCAACTAGTAGCCATCACCCTCTGGGACATTGGTACCTGTGCATCAATTATTTTTTTCAAATATTGTTTTTTCATACCACCATCATTATGAATTTGAACGAGTTCTCACTTTTGCAATAAATGTTTAATTATATCACAAAAAATATAAAAAAAAACTCAAAAATATTTCTATAGTGTGTGTGTGTGTGTGTGTGTGTGTGTGTCTACAGATGTACATGTGAGTGATGCCTAATTAATTTACCCACTGGTCACTTTAAATTCAGGATTAAGAGCTGTTTTAAGTTAAACGATGAGGACAGATTCAGCCACAGCAACAGTCTGTTGGAACATATCTTTCCACGAGTTGCAAGAGCAAGTTGAAATGTTTGTGTCTGTATGCATACTGAGCATTCAACATGCTGGAAGTGACAGAGCTCCATGATTTGCTGCCTTCAAAAAAGCTACTTTTGCTGTCGGCTTTTCCCATCAGGTATCAACAAAGCAAATCTCAAGTCTCCAATAATCCCGTTTACCTCTAACAGTCACAGATGTAGTGTCAGGCTTTATAGTGCAACTACTGCATATTTAATTATGAACAATAAGATGTGATGATTCCATATAAATATGAAATATCAACCTGATTGATCTTTGAATGTTTATTCAGAAGAATTTAGGATTTTTTGCTTATTCAGGGACCAGAAACACACTTCGTATTAATTCAGGCAGAGTCAAGTATATAGTTAAAAATGAACTTTATTTTCTAAACTAATTATAATACATGACAAGCTATGAATAATGATATGTGATGGAGTGTATGTGTGGTGCTGTTTATTAGAACCTTTGTATCTGAAAGAGATTGTGAATTCTGGGTGCAAAGGAATTTTGGTCTGCTATAAACTAGAGAGTTGATTATTCATTAAACAGCATCAGACACCAGTATGCAGGTCCACGATACCCTTGTATGGGTTGCTCCCGGCGGTTCGGAGGTTTGCGGTCAGAGTGGTGAGGTCACTGGACGTCGAGACCACGATCCTTAGAGAGTAGTAGCTTCCCCTGAGTTCAGCTTTCCCGGCCATGAGATGCAACCTGGGGTCTGCAGATTAGGTGTCCAAGATGGATGTCTGAGAGTTGTAGTTGCTCTGGAAAGAGCTGTCTGTGATCACTTGCAGCTTCGTGGCGAGGTTTTGACATAAGGTCAAAGGATGTTGTTTTAAAAAAGGCTTCTTTCCCGATTCGGCCGAATTGAGGTGTCAACTGGAAACTGAATAACTCGGGAAGTCATCCTAGTTGTATTAATCCACCGTGTTATGACTCTGGCGAATCAGAATTTGACATGTTGTAGCTTTACCAAACATCCCTCAGAAACCTCACCTTCCAGATACAAGATGTTCTAATTCTGTGCATAAAGAGTCTTTAAACTTTATGTGATTTGACTGTAATTTGCATCTAATGAACATTGTGTATGAGTGTCGATAATGATTAACTTGTTAAATCAAACAGTACTGATCACAATATATAAATGGTACATTGTAATAACAATATTCATTTCAACTTCACTGAATTAGGCACAGATTATTCAAACATTATTATTATTATTCATATAACATCTGGTTCATTCAACCATATGATTATTTAATGATTATTTTACTTAAGTTCACTTTTTATTCAGAGTGGAATCATCAGTCTGAGATAAGAGGAAAGCTTTGTTTGGAGACGTAGGCTGACAATCTTGTCTTCATGGAATGTCAACAAGCACTGCAGTATCTTCTGGGTTGCAGAAGATAGAATATAAAATCCACCTAGTAAATGGAATTATTTCTGTAGATGGCTGGTCACTATGTAGGTCAATATGTAGGTCAGAATTGACCCTTTGTGGACGTTACACAGATCACAGCGAAGTCAAACAAAAACGTGGAGCCAGCTGACAGAGAAAGTTACGCTAATAAACGAAGAGAAATCGCCAACAGACTGCAAAACATCAGGGCTTTTACCTCTCCAGCACCGGAGCTGCGCACTGGAGCTACAGGTGTCATGAAGAGAAAATCACCCTGCCTGCTGAAGGCTCCGTCTGCCTGCTCCGGCACATGAACACACTTTGCTCAGTACAGTTGCATAACACTGGCAGGTGAGTCTGCCGTACACAGGCGCCACCAGTCTCTCCAAACACCACCAGCAGGCAAGGTGGGTTGTGTCTTCTCCAAGGAAATGATGACAGAGACTGACTGGGTGGAACTTGAACGTGCAACCTTCAGATTACGTGGCGAGCATGTTCTGTGCCTCCATTAGATCCAAAAACGGTGATCTTTATCTCATCACACCAGAGTGTAGAGTCACAGTTGTCTTCATCTCTTTCAGCATGGGCCCTAGCAAGTTCTAGGCATGTTTTTTTGAGCATGGGCTTTAGGAGAGGCTACTTTCATGGGCGATACTCATGCATGCCATTCCTCTTCAGTGTGCACCGTAGGGTGTCACAGGAGCTAGTCTAGTGTTACACAACCAGGGCGAAAACTACACTGTTCCTACAGATTCTAAAGTTCAACAATCCGACGGACTCTCCTCTCCAGAACCCCTGAATAGACCTTACCAGGGAGGGTCAAAAGTGTGATCCCTGTGTAGTTGGAACACACTCTGCGGTCCCCCTTTTTCAATAAGGGGACCACCACCCCAGTCTGCTAATCCAGTGGAACTGCCCCCGACGTCCACACGATATTGCAGAGCCGCATCACCCAACACAGCCCCACAACATTCAGAGCCTTAAGGAACTC